ATCGTCTATCACGTGTAAAAATTTCGGTGCTATTATTTTTTGTTATGAACAATGAAAGATTTAATATCATTAGAAAATTTTTTAAAAATTTTTTCTTCTAGGTGTTGAGCTATGAAAGTAACGTTCATTTCAACAGAATTGTCTTGAAAAATTTTCTCCAATGAATCAATGTACAGTTCGTGTAAATGGATTAATAAATGACAGCGCTTTTTCTTGATTATGTCTTCCTCGATGATTACACTTATTTCATCAAAAGCCAATTGGTGATATTCTCGATGAAAATGCCAATCACTTTTACTGAATGGTTTTTTTAATAAAGATATTTTATTATTAAAGTCGACTCTACATTCTGTATCATAGTGTATTTTCGGGCTAGAAAATTTTTCCAATCTATTTAATAATTCTGTAAACTCGTCTTGACCTTCGATATTAGGTAATACACTAGATTTAAGTTTGTTGGTGTCTGCTTCGTGAAGTGAAATCATTTTAGATCGTAATTTTTTATATTTTCTATTACAGAATACACAAACTTTTGGATTATTGTTAATACTGCCATCACTCTCAGTTACATTATGTACTATTGGAGTTGAATGATTATTTTTTCGAGTATCTGACTCAAAAGTTTAAACATTTTCTTGAGATGTTGATGATTGGAGTTCGACCGATTCAGAAATTTGAATAGATTGCAATATTGATGAAGATTCTACAGGTAGAGTCTGAAAATGAGGTTTTTCTTGAGAAGTTGTCGGTTGTGGTTCTATTGATTCGGAAATAAAAGTTGTTTGAGAGATTGTTGACGATTCTGTAGTGGAAGATTGTAAATTAGATGGTTCGATGGTCAACTCAGGTATCAACGGCGTAGTCGGAGAGCGATTGTCTGTAGGTACGCTGGCTGGTGTTGCTTTTTCATTTTGTTTAGAACTCCCAGGTTCAAAAATTAAATATTTTTTTCACAACCCCTATGAATGCTTTATAGCATTCCCGGTGATAACCACAGTCTGTATATTCATCGGGCAAAATGATATCTTTATATTGTAGGTTATGTTTTTTTTGACATTCAAAATATTTTGATATTTTTTGAAAATTTCCTCTGAAGACAATATTATTTTACCGGTACTTTCTTTACAAACAAAACAAATTAATTTATTTTCCATGATAACACTTCACTAAAACTCGATCAAATTTATTTCACAAACTACACAAATAAACGATAAAACGTATAGTGAACGTATAATAATTCAACACAATACAATGCAGCGTGACCACTTTTTAATGAGGGAATCTACCAAAGACATTTTAAAATCTACTAATTTTTAAAAGTAATATTTGAGCCGTTTTGGGTAGATACGAATTGAAATAAATCAAATTTGTTAATAAACCCTACATTTAATCATTTATGATTAACATTTTTGTATTAATTTTCATTGTCATCAAATTTTCACTTCTTTTCCGCGAAAGCAAACAATACAAATGAACGAAAACGAGTAATAAAACTATGTTGTCTATCATTATAATAGCAACTTAAAAATGATCTAAAGTTGAAAAACATGTTTTATAAAAATAGTCTTTATCTAATGGATATTTAAATTCAATTTGCTATGCCCACAATAACATTCATACATAAAGGAATTCTAAATCAATTTCGTGTGTTGCCAACTGTAAAATTAAAACTTTTTGGACATGGATGCTTGGTTTTAAGCCTAATATTCTTTGATAGCGAATTAATACCAAAACCTACAGATGTGTTTCTCATTTCTACTAAATTCTACTAAGATATTTTGTCCTACTAGATTATCGTCTTATTTGCTTCAAATCTACTAAAAAAGTAGAAATCTACTAAAAGTGGTCACGCTGATACAATGTAAGCGACAGATGATGCGCAATAAAAGATCGCAATAGAGCAAACTCACCATCTCACTCAAACCCGCCTAAATATCGCCTCTAATATAATGCCTCGCGCTCGCACTTACCGCAGACTTTCAAGGCCTCTGGCAATATGTAAAAACCGTGAAAACTGTCCGGCTACTGGGGTAACTTCTTTTGATAGTCTCCCAAGTAACATATCTAAAATTCAGCTTTTATACTATATTGTAAGCGTAAGTACAATATTTTTGAGTTTGGGGGTGTCCGGCAGGGCGTTAAAACCATACTAAGTGTCCGGCAATGGATGACATCATTTTATAATATTATTCTAAAGAAAATATCAAAAAACCGAGCTTTATCTTTTAATGTATTTGAGGTGCTTTTTTTTACACCTTTGTTACCTGTTACCTGTCAAAGTATGACTACCCAAACTACATAGTCGCCCATCGTTCTTACCTGTGTTGGTGACGTGCGCAGACAAACTTTCTGCTTTTATGAAATATTGTGCGCCTGGCTGAAGCGGGCTCTTGGGCTATGATAATTCAAATTATAATGTCTTAAAATTAAATGGTATAGTGAGATAAAGTTTTGCGGTTCTATTCAATAAATTTTATAGTTCAAATTTAAAAATTGTCAAACAAATAATAGTCAATATTATAATACGCTTTTTTGGTTAAAATATTTTTAGGTGATTCTTAAAAATGTAAAGGCTCTTAGATATTTTGGTATATGGTTAAACAGGCGAGGCCCCATGCAGAATACGTTTTTCTTAAATAAAACAGTCGTACTATTGGGATGGCTCAATTTATCTTTACGACATAACTTAAAAAGACATTTAGATTTTTGTAAATACTGTTGCGCGCCCACAGTTGATGACACTAGCGCCATCTATTATCGAATAGAGGAACTAAGCTTTCTAGATAACTCTACAGTCGAGTTTTCTTCATCTAGTCGGTCGGGACCGGTATTTGCTAGCACATTCTAGATGTTTCGGTGGAAAAAGCCTATATAAAGCCGTTGCGGGCCGCGACCGGGGCAGTATTGAATTGGCGATACAAGCGAAGCTTTGGAGCGAAATAAAGTAAACTAAAGTGATCAGTGCGATTAATTATTAGTGTGTTTTAAGTTTTAATTGGTGTTAATTTTGGTAATTCTATCGGCAGTTTTTATTGTCACGAATCCTAAGCTCGTAACAATAGGGTTTTGACTTACAAATAAGACTATCTAAATCCAATGTATATATAATATATAATCCCTCTCAGAAATGAGGCCTGTGCCCAGGAGTTGGACGTATTTTATTGATAGTCTTTCAAAAGATTTTATGTAAAAAGGCCAATGTAAGGTGTGCTTCCGTACTGTTTAATAAAAAAAAATATGTGCTAGAACAGTGGATATAAGTCAAATTGTTTTTAATTGTTGATAGAGTAAGAGCTAAATCCACCAAAGTAAACGTAAGCCCATTTAGTGATATAATCTTATTTGGCTGCTTAATTTTTAGTGAAGGCGATATTACACGGTTCAATTTCGGTTCCCTACTGCTTTCAATTTAGTTGCTTCAATGGTATTGTTGATACATCTAAATTAATTTCAATACGATTTCATAATCTCATTGAATGCTACATTCAAGCCGATATTACACGGTTCAATCAAATTGAAACAATTCCATTGAAAAGCATTAAATATTGCACATTGAACAACTTTACCAATATATACACGTATATCATTTAAATGACATTCAATGTTCAAAAAGCATTGCGATGTCGCGTAAACTCGCACGTGCGGGAATTTCTTTAATTTGCGACTATTTAATAAATGAGTGAAATAAAAAATCTCGGCGTTGGTAGGTACGCCCGTGGATTTCTAGAAGGATAATTAAAGGAGCCTCAAACACTTCATTTTCGAAATAAATATAGCGAAACAGGTGCGATGCGTACATTTCGCTGTCGTGCGGCGCGCTGAATGAGTTACCTTCAGAGTTCATTCATCCTACGTTCGTTCGTACGTTTATCCTACCTTAGAGTTCATTCTTCATGTATACACGTTTCAACCGCATTAAACAATGCCAATATTGCCACTATTGCATTGAAAGGGTTTGGTGAATCTTAGCTTTCATTGAAATTGAGCAATCGCATTGAAATGTATTAAGATGTATCAATGCCATTGAAGCAATTAAAATGAAAGCAGTATTGAACGGAAATTGAACCATGTAATATCGGCTTCACCGTACCATTTCAATGCAATGTTGGCAATATTGGTCATTGTTTTTTTTTATTTAAGGACCAGTACACAACTTCATCAGAGGCTTAGTAACTAATCTTAATCCTAAAATTTTAATCTAGTGAAGCCAACATCACCAGCCTCTGATAATAATTTATAGCTGCTCGAAACATTGTCATAGTAGCTACATGCCCAATATTGATATTGTTATTATAGCAGTAATTGCAAATTCAAAATACTGTAATATTAACATATTATAATATGTATGTATGTGATTGTATGTATATATGTATATGTTATGTATGTATATGGATGTATGTTTGTGTATATAGGGACGGATGTTTATAATTAATATATCTAATGTGTGTATATATGTTTATGTTTATAGATCATAAATAAATTGGAGTAGATATTTAAAGGGAAAGCTTTGTAAAGTCAGCCGTGCACAAATTTTCACTTTTTGGCTCTCACGATGCAGGTCTGCGTGCCTAGTGTGAGAACCACTGCTAAATTATTTGTAAAGGTGCTAACTGTCAAATAAAGTATTTTTCATTTTCATAGGATAAATTACAAAAGTGAAGGACTGTTTACATGAGACTGCCAGTTAAAATTACAATCTACATTTTTTTTCTTTTATAACTCAAGTTATTGTTCTGCTTTGGCACCTTGTGAAGTACAGCAGCACACAGTCCATCTGATGGTGAGTGGCTCCTGTGACCTATAGACATTGGCATTTACCTTCGATTAAAAATGAAAATGTAGACGCGTTATTACCCCTGAGAACGAGAATGGATGGAATCATCAGTAACTCATTATTTTAAATGGCATAATACTGCTTTTTTTGCGCGTTCAAGTAGTGGACTGTTATTTCGTTTGACAGAATTTTATAAAAAAAGTATAATAAGAGTTGATGTGTGCAGGTGACCGCGCAGAACCTGGTGAACGAGCTGGTGAAGCGTATCATCGTGCATCATCTGGAGCTGTTCCCGCAGGACATCGCGCCACATACGCTGTACCGCCGCCCCGGGTAGCTGTCACACTTGTTCTCTCACTCTCTCACTACAGTAGCTGGAGCTAACATTTGTACTGAAACGCAAGTCGTTCCTGGTTGCTACTTCCTGTGTCCTCTATGCCGTTTTAATTTAATTTGTGACCTTTTTATGTATATGAACTTAAGATTGTCACCTACTTGGGGTACAATATTAATTATTATTGCACTGGAGTAGCGGGCTGCACTCTCTCCACCTTACCAGTTAGTATTTACATAATACAATTTAGAAATGGCACTGTAGCGATCACCTCGTTATAAAATATAAAAATCGCAGTGAAGAAGCGGGGGGAAGCGGCGAGTACGGAAGCGGAAACGGAAGCGGAGACGAGCGTGACAGAAGGGGGCACTAGTGCACGCACGAGTGGGACGGCGATGGAGGGAGGAGGGGAAAGGAAGGGGGAGGGCAGTGATGAGGCGGACGCGGCGCACGACGCGCACGACGTCAACGACGACCTGTCGCTGTACGATGACGAGGATGACGACGACGATGATGACGGTACGAGAATACATTATTCACCGAGAACACTTGCAATCTTTACGACCCCGGAATTCAATTGCTAAGGCTGTATCGAAAGTGGGTACGACGCATTTCAAAAAAAATTGTGAATAGTCATTACGCTGTTGGCGGTTGGCGGGAGACTGACGTGGAGCCGACGCCATTCGGTACTGCACTTGTGATTAAATATATACAAACAAAGATAACTCTGTGGTTTGTGTTAATAATGTTATAACAAAATTTCTGTTTACGGACTCGGTAACGCTTTTCAATCTCTGTCGCGTGCCGAGTGTACGAGTTTACAAGATAAAATTCAGAAAGTACATAAAACCATTTTGTATGATAAAATTCTCATTGAAATCCTTACGACGGTCCAAAATTATTTAATTTAAGTCATTAAAAATTTTCGAAAGAATGGTTAGTTAAGTTTCGGGAGCGGTGTTGAAGCTTTTTAAAAAAGAATTACTATAATGAATTAAAACTAATTCAGTGCAGTACTGACTTCCTTAACTAATTGTTATATCACTACGACCAACACTATAATTAATATAACTCTGAACTCAACGGCTTTTATAGGACGGTCACAGCAAATCTGTTGACTGGAAGTGTAATGTCGGGAGGTTCGGGGATAAATAATACGTCTACTGGTCTTGAATGTAGGTTTATTACTGACTGAATGTTTATTAGGCTATCATATATATATATATATATATATATATATATATATATATATATATATATATATATATATATATATATATATATATATAGCTACATGAGCATACACTACACACACACTACACGCCCATCGGCAAAAAGAAAAAAATTGAATTACAAAAATTTTTTTTCAATGAATTACAACTTGGTGTAAAAATCAAAAAAATTGTACATTATTTTAAAATATTAAAATTCGTATGCCTACTATATTATATTTATAACATAATAAAATAAAAATAAAATATTGTAAACACCGTAATTTAAAAAAATATAAATTTCTATCTCTGTATTTAAATTTTTTAAACAATCATCAAATTCCTTACGTAATTGTATTGAATCTTTAAGTTTTTGTTGTGAAATAATTTTAGTTCGCCTATCATTACTGCATAACTTTTAAAATTCTCATATTATATAACTATTAATTCACTAGACTGAAAATACAGTTTTTAAAACAAAATTATAGTTATCAAAAATATTATGTGTTTACTCACATATTCTTAAACTTAAACTATATTATTCATTTTAAATCTTAATAAATCTATAAGAAGTTAATGCCATTGAAATAGTATCCTTACTTTTAAGTGGATACACTTCAGCATACTTATTTAAATCACACTGTGAGTGTGTGAGTATATAAACATTACTAGCACTATGCTTATATAAGGGCCCTACTAAATCTAAATAAACTCTATGAAAAGTGGAATATCCCATAAATCGGTCATAACCATTGGTTCCTTTATATATTTATTTAAGTGTTTATATCGCAAACACTTGTCTCATCGATTTACATAATTTGTAGGATGTTACTAATTATGTACATTATATAGTCTCTAACTTTGGTCAAAAGAACTTTTTCTTTGTATTGTTTATCATTCTCCTATACGCGCGTGACCGTTAGTTGGCAAAAAATGATAGTTGTTTAATATTACACGTTTTGTCTCACGGCGGTCCTAGTGCAATATAATTATAATCATTACAGGGATCATATACAACTTACAATCTCAGCCGCGTAAGCGGTTTGTGACACCTTTGTTTTAATTTATAAGTATGTTCATGGCAACGTTTTTTTCGATTACGTTGTATAATGGTACCTAGTGTTAACCATGCATTAAAATTATATCGTAAATGAAATTTAACTTTCACAATGGATTGTACCTCTAAATATAGATTGTTACATTCAATTTTAAATTTATTTTGTAAAAGTATTATACTTTTATATAGGTACATTAACAAAAAATCATTAATTAAGTTATTTATAATTTCGAAAACTCATTTTTTCATTACAAGAAATTTATATAACAAAGAAAACATTACTAGATAGCTCAAGTTTGTTTTACGAAATATTTATTAACATTGAAAAAGGCAATTTCATTTCAAACATAATTTTTGGTTCCGTTGTCTTTTCTAAAGAAAAAACGTAAAAAGAATACTATTACATTAATAAATTTATAATAATAGTGTATCGATAGACTCTGGACTTTATTTTATAAGCAAAATATAAACCAAATATAGTTTAAAATGTACGAGTTTTACATAAAAAACATATGACAAAAAAATCAACCAGATGTATTGTAAATATGAATTAATGTGTCTAAATCTGAAAAAATCTCGTAAATTCATATGCAAATGTGGTTAAATAATGACGCGCAGAATACATACACACACACACAACACATTTTCGCGTAGTTGTGTAAATCGATCCCTATAGTTATTACATGTGTAACTCATTAGTCGCATTTTGATAGTCCTAATACAGAAATGGAAACTACACACTTTTTGATTTGCTCGGGGATCCCCTTATTATCCTGTATTTTTGCCGATTAATAGGCGTATTTTCCATAATTCTTGTACGTACTTTCTTCTATTTCTTCTTAATATTGTTGACCTTTAGCTGGCTCTCTTTCTCTCTATTCACTTATATATTTATTTATTTATTAGATACCGGGAATCGAGTATTAATTCATTTCATTTATATTTTATTTCGTGATATTTATCACGCGGGTACTTTGTGAATATGGGCCCCCCATATATTTGGGTATTATATTACATTTTCGTAACATTCATTTCATTTTATTGGTACATAAACTTTTTTTCTATATCAAGGTAAAATGTACCTTGGGTTGTGCGCACAACCTTGAGGTCTACGTTTAAGTCATTAAAAGGACTTCAACAATTGTCACGGAGGAAAACTAAGTTCACACTGTGATTCAATGAAGGATATGACCTCCATGCACCATTATTAAGGGTAACGAATTTAAGACTTTTCTGGTCCCTAACAGTACTAATATGAGTCAACTCGTGTACATCACTTGTACTGAAAGTATTGTTCCCTAGTACCCGTTACGCCCGATTTTATCATCCAATCACGGAAACATACCCTGCTCGAGGACTATATGTTATACCAGTGATAGACGTTCCCGTATCTCTCCATTACCTATTTATTAAGGTCAATTATTTTTTTTTATATTTATTCCTTTTAGCTTCATAATTCTCACTATTAACGGATTCAATACTATTAGTTTAAGCATCATCAAATATTTGGGTGATCAGTCCAATATTGACGATACTTAACCACTCAATCATTCGTATTCCCATTTTTGAACATTTCTTTCTTTCATACTCGCATTGATATAAAATAAATTCTCGAATCTCGGAGGTATACTCAAATAACTATTATTTCCCAAAATACCCATATGTAATGGTAAAGTTACTAATTCATTCATATTATGCAGTGTAATATTATTCAATTCAAAATTTATGCTACAGTTAAACTTACGTAAAAAATTTATACCTAAAATTCCAGAAGTTTCACACACGGCAACTGCTTTTTAACATGAAACTTATTATTAAATTTTCTGCCCGTCAACAGACTATGTTAAATCAACAAATCCCACGGTTCGTAATTTGCCTCCAATTCCGTTTATTGTTAAAGAAACCGATTTTCTTTTGTAATGAAATGTTTAGTTTACTAAGCGTGTCATATTTAGTCGCACATACAGAAGCGTCGGTATCTACGAGCTATCTACATTTGATACCATCTATTGCTAAGTCAACACAATTACTATATTCGCAACTAAATATATTATTGGTGCCGAAAAAATTCTAGATTATTTTCATTATTACCGTTATTAGGGTTAATTTCAATATCTCTCCTCATCCTTTGCAGCTCTAATTGTTTAACGTACTATAATTACGTGCTGACAAAATAATACTGAGTTGTCGATTTCGCAAGCCATTTGTGAAACTTTTAATAGCGATCTTTTCATTTATAGGACGTAAAATTTTTATGCGCGTTTTGGTCACCATCGACTTAGGAAATCGTCAAATCTACGAATAATTGTTCGATTTTATTGCCATAATTATCTAGGGAACTACTATTTTGTCTTATTTGCATTAGTTCGTTAAGAATGGAATAGTTAATTAATAAATGTGACATAAAAACAGAAAAAAAAAATAATGATAATTGGATGTAACATTTATAACTTATAATACATAATGATCGACAAATTAATGATTATACCAAGTATATGACATTGAGCAATAATAATAATCTAAAGTTGGTATTTCCTCTAACGCTGTTACACAATTAATTAGACAGTTACCATATCAATTAAAAAAATATTGAATAATTTTATATGTTGTTAAAATTTCGATAAATATTGTTATAGTTACTTGTCCATTAAAATATACACATTACTATGATAGAATATGTAGAACTAAATTATGCTTAAACACCATTGTTTAACCATATTGTTGCAAAAAACAAATATTATTATTATCATTATTAAGTAGTTTTTTACTGATTAATTGTTGTGGTATAATACATAATTTATTTTATTTTTATTTTTTATTTTTATTTTATTTGGAAGACCAACAGCTATCATTAGGATAGATAGTATTAATAACAACAGTAAGCCAATTAAAGATCCTCACTAATAGATCCAAAGGTGAATTTACAACAGTGATAAATACGATTTAACACTCGAAAGTATCCAATACAACATATTTATACCAAATGAGAGCTAAACTTGTATTATACATATAAAAGACAATCAACTCATACTTAGGACAGTCAATAACACTACAAGCTATTTTAAGAGAAAAATAAACACAAATACAAAAGTAAATCATAGTTGTGTAGCAACCCATCAATATCTCACTTAGAGCTACCAAAAAATGCATTGTTAAGTATGCGCCTAGCTGACGCAGCACTAGTGTTAAACAAATCGAAGTTAAACTCATTGGCTAGCTTATTGAAATTATTGCTCGCACGCCATATAAAT